TTCTAGTTGCTGTATGTGGGACTCGGCCTCAGGCTGGACAGAGAAGTGGTGCCTCGATGCGCACCCGGGATCCGAACCCGGGCCGCCAGCATCGCAGCACGCGCACTTAACCACCAAGCCACAGGGCCGGCCCTAAACAATAGAAATTTATTTCTCACAATTCTGGAGGCTAGGAAGTCCAAGATCAAGGTGCCAGCTGATTCAGTTCCTGGTGAGGACTCTCTTCCTGGCTTGCAGACAGCCACCTTATCTCCAAATATAGTCACATTGGGGGTTAGGGCTTCAACATATGAATTTAGGGAAGGGGGACACAAACATTGCATCCCTAACATTGCCCACAAAACTATAAAACCATCACCAAACAAGGTTGGCTACACTGTGTTCAGATAACATAGGATATAGTAGTCTGGAACCAAAAAGCTTTTGTCAGTTGCCTATTTTCTTCATATCTGAAGTTAAGGTAAGTCTGTGTACAGCTCAGATTGGGCTAGGAAGATATCTGGCATCCAGCATTAATTGTTTTGATGACCACTCTCCTTTTTTTACTTCTTGTTTCAAATTTACTTGCATAAGTAAAGTCTATAGTTTATGATGAATAGAGAGCAGGGATAGAAAGAACTTGTTGAAATACCAGAGGCACCTCCTCCTGCAGCTTTGCCCAGATCTGTGGCAAGCTATAAGCTCCTAGTCAGTGAGACAGAGCTGAATGATGACCCTGCTCTACAGAGTGTAAAATTAGTTTTGAGGTTAAGAGTTAAGCTGAGTTCTTTAGAATGAAGCTGTTGAAAAAGCTCTGTGGTTTTACAGATATTCACTTACTGGCCTTCTTAGAACCTCAGGAGTTGAAAAGATGGGATTATGGTGTCATTGTGGAAATGAGGAAGCAAAGGCCTGGCTGCTTATTTACTTCTGGGAGCGTCACTGTGAATCATTAGGGAGGTTTCAGGTGGAATGCCGTCCTCACTCGTCATCCTGTCATTTAGTTGTACCTCACATACTCCCACTGCTCCTGGGCGTGACTAGGCTTCGTTCTTTTTAAAAGAAAAATACAACATACACATATACTTATTCCACTTTGCTGAAACAATGCTGAGAAAGACCTTTTTCCTCTCAGAATCAGGTGGCTTGTAAAGAGCTAACTTGATTGAGCCTCTAAAGCTGGAAAGAGGACCTAAGTACATACATTCAGATGACTGAGTACAAGAGAAAATCAGAGTGTGAGTTGGAGACAAGTGATTTATGTTTCTGCTGCCTTTTCACCACACCAGGCAGTAAAGGTGGCCTGGTGTCTGGAGAAAGACCAGAGCCTTCTTGCAGAGGTCCTGCAGAGGGGGGGGGTTCCCCAGAGGTCCCCCAAGAAGAGACTGTTGGCTGTTGTTATAAAGATCAGTTGTACCGCATACTGGTCTCTGGGCTGACAGTAGTCTATGATGTTTTCTGTGGTTTATGGCAAAATGAGATAATTACAGACAATGTAAGCTTTCCATAAAGCTTTCTTTTCTAATGTTGACATTTGTTTCTTTTTTTAATCAAATGGTAGTGATGGAAATAACCAGTTTTTGAAAGTTGTTCTCTCTTGGCAAATTAAAAAGGTGGCAACTCTATGACTCCTATCATTTTTTTCTTTTTTAATTTGCTGCTAGGTGAAATCTGAAACACTTGGAACGACTGCCCTAGATCAAATAAACTATTTTCTTGAAAGAAGCAGTTAGAATCTGAGTGGGGTGGCCTTTAGTATTTTCATTATTTAGGATTATTATTTAGTGTTTTAATACGAGTAAAAATACTAATACTTAAGTGTACTTAATACCTAAATCAGCTTACCCGTCTTATCACAGTCCCTTAAAACATATTTATAAATGGACTCATCTTGTGTTCTCCAGTCTCCACAGATTATAAGGAGGAATTGAGCTCATTGTCACCATTTTACAGAGGAGCATGTTGAGACTAGAGAAGTGAAGTGTCCTATTTGCAGTTACCCGTGAGTCAGGAGAAGATGCTCTGCTAGAACTCAGATCTTCTGGTGTCCTGGGTCAGTACTTGCTGCATAGTGGGAGCCAATAGTGTCTGATTTCCCAGAGCAGCTCCATCAGGTAGGAGTACTGTGATGAGAATCTGAGGCTATCTCTGTCTCAGGGACAGAGGGAGCCCTGAGGTTGTTCACGCCTGCCAGGTGAGGAAGGGAGCATTGGCAGAAAGCCTGCCACGTGTTTCTTCTCCTTACGTTGCCTCACTGAAGTGACTTAGTTAAGTGCGGAAAAGGCAAATAGGCTGAAAACAATCATCAGCACCTTTCTTTTTCCTTTCTTTTATTTGCTTCTTCCTCATAGTTCTCCTCCAGCCTTTTTAACAAGCCGGAAGAGCCCAAAGATGAATCTCCTTCTTCATGGAGGCTAGGACTCAGAAAAACTGGCAGCCACAACATGCTGAGTGAGGTGGCCGGTTCCACGGAGGCCCTAAGGGACCGAGGCTCTTCCGTCTACCGCTCATCATCCAGCCCTCGGATCTCCACTCTGCTGGACAGCAAGGATAAGGTGCGGTTGGGCAGTTTCCTTCGTGAAAATTCAGTGTTGGGAACAAAGGAAAATATTATCTAGTCCCTAATTTGATTCTAGAAGTACAAAGTCTTTAAAAGGAGACAGGCACATTGATAGTTTAGTCAAGTAGCTATTTGCTTGATATTATTTTCTTGGCCAAAGAAGAAAAAACCCTTTTCTTTTTGGCGTACCTTATGTTCGTTCCTCCTGCCTTCCTTACCTAGGGCAGAAAGCTGAGTCAGAAGCATGAAAATTTAGATGTGGCCTAAAAGACTTCCTCCAAACCAATACCAGTAATTGATTCTTTTGATGCTTAGAAGCAAAGTCCCTGAGGTGGGCTTTCAACCCTAATGAAGCTCAGGCAAATTAGCACTTAGAAAATAAATTTTACATGTCTCATTTTTTCGTTAGTAGACATATGATCAGGCTAATTTCCCAAGAGCTCATCTGCGTATTCATCCAAGATGAGTATATTTTCATTTCTTCACTCTGGGTTCTAGATTTTATTGGGCTCACTTGATGCTCTTCTTGGGGCCAGGTCTTCTCGCAGTCGTAGTTTCCTCGCTCAGTGCTGCCTTTCGGGAGACTTCTCAAGGGGGTGAGCATACGGGTGGGTTTAACTGTGCAGCATGTTTGTTGTACATGAAGCTGCATTTCAAGGAAGAGGTAGGCTGGGGAAGAAATGAGGCTTATTTCATAAGAACTTGAGAGTGGAGCTTTCTGTTTGTGGCTTTTCAAAGCCTCCCTCTCTTGGCAGGGCTGCTGCGTGTGTAACTTGTGTGGTCTTTTTCCTTATTTAATTGTCTTTGCTTTTCCCATGAGAATTGTTTTCCTACATATTGGTTTTTAATGGAGGAAAGTTAGGAAGAAGCCTTTGAAAGCTGACCCTTTGTAATCCCGCTCAGACTGAAATTGGTGTTGAATACAGAGATAAGATTCTGTAGGTGTATGAAGTTCTGCTTTTTTACCCAAAATGGTTTACACACCTTCCCTGTGCTTTACCTGTTCTGATTTTACAGGACCGAGAAAACAGAAGCTATCTTAACTCACTCGCACCCCGAAGGCTCAGCAACACAAGTGACATTGAAGAGAAGGAGAACAGGTGATCCTAATACAGGCCAAGGCGGTCCTCTTTAACTCTGCTGGGCATAGTGACCTCTTGGCAAGTCCTCTGCTGCCGTCTTCCCACAGGTGTCCTTAGCACAGTATGGATTGTTCGTTCCTTCTGCTCAGAACACCTCCCAGCCCTTACTCCCTTGCTTTGCCGGTTCTTGGCCCTTCAGGTTCTCGTTACTGTCTGTAACAAGTCTCCCCTGACCCTTCTGAGTATGGATGCCTTCTCTTCCACCGGCAGGCTCTGTACTGGCAGGGTCTACCTCTGTCTGGTCTCTCAAGTACCCCTAGTGCCTAGCACAGGGCCTACCCCGTAGTAAACTAAAAATGGTGTCATTGAATTGAATTCATCAACTTTTAATTTGTAAGTAGATAAAATTTCAAGTCTTCCTTATCAGTTAAAATGAAGATGGGGATTTTGAAGTATTGCCACATCTCAGAGCAGAACCTGATCTAGAACCTTGGTTCTCAAGGTCTGGTCCTCCAACCAGCCACATTGGTATCACCTGGAAGCATGTTAGAAGTGCACAATCTCGGGCCCCACCCCAGACCTGCTGAATTAGAATCTGCATTTTAATAAAATTCCCTAGGTAATTCAAATGTAAATTGAAGTTTAAGAAGGACTGCTCTATGGGCCGGCCCTGTGGCTTGGTGGTTAAGTGCGCACGCTGCAATGCTGGCGGCCCGGGTTCGGATCCCGGGTGCGCATCGAGGCACCACTTCTCCGTCCATCCTGAGGCCGAGTCCCACATACAGCAACTAGAAGGATGTGCAGCTATGACATGCAACTATCTGCTGGGGCTTTGGGGGGAAAAATAAAATAAATAAAATCTTTAAAAAAAAAAAAAAAGGACTGCTCTAAAGGAGCTCGTGAAACATGGAGACCCTTAGCTTTTGTAGCAAAGACACTGAGTTAACAACTGTGGATCAGAAATCCTACTGCAGCCCTCTCCTGGATGCCTTTTCATTTATAATGCTAAAGAGGCTTCCACCAAGTCCTCCTCCTCTTTCCTCTTCTGTAGTAACTTCTTTCCTGATGACACTTCCTTATCTTCCTCACCACCCCTGTCCCTGCTTTCTTATGAGCAACCTACTTCCACAGACTGATTTGCAAAGCTTTGTAGAAGAGAAACAAAAGTGACTTTTCATTATAAAAGGGTTAGAGACCTTTGACATAAGGATTGGTACGTATTGAAGATAGTTGGCTTTGAAGTTGATAAAGAAGACAGTAATACCTCTCATCCTCCATCTATACAGAAAACAGGTATATAAAACAGAGAATCACTTGAAAAATGTGTCTATTTCTTTAGCCATATTGCAGCTTGCCTATCTGACTCTTCTCTCTCTGTTTGCATTGTATCATGGACAAAAGCTGTGGTAGGCATCAATGTTTTGTTTTCCTTTCATGCCTCTACAGAGAATCAGCTGTAAATCTAGTGCGGAGCGGCTCCTATACCCGGCAGCTATGGAGGGATGAAGCAAGGGGAAATGACACTCCACAGACAATTGCTCCTTCCACCTACGTATCAACCTATTTGAAAAGGTACCAGGTCCAAAGGGCTGGGAGATGATTTTCCTTCAGTCTGGCCATGGGTATATGGGTAATAATTGCATGCCATTTATGTCCAATTAGCACCACAAAAATGAATCAAAAAATGAATTACTTTTAGATTTCTTGGGAGTAACATCTTGACTAATTTTAAATTGAAATTAATTTCTTAACTGAATTAAACTAAGCTAATTCCAAATTCTTACCACAGACAGATCTGAATTGATACTCCATCCTCTCAGTCCTATTAACTCTTCAACCAGAAGTGACTTCTAGTAATCTCTGAGCAGGACTGAATTTAACTCACCCTTATCCAGTGGCTAGCTCTCCTTTTTCTAAAACTGGAGTAGTTCTCAAGTTATATTTTTTCAGGGGAGGAGGGAGGGACCCTACAGGGTGGTGATGGGGTGGGACATGGGGACAGTTTTGTATTGCATTAAAGAAGTTTCATATTGAAGCCTGTTAATTTAGGGACTTGAGTTTTTTTTTTTCTTATGACTTTAATGGCCCTCAGATCCATCAAGATGTGAAACTCGCAAGTTTGGTGCAGAGAAGGTACATGGGTTTCCTTCCCCTCTTCTCATCTGTATTCCCTTTTCTGCAATTATTTTCTTTGCCATGTACCAGCCAGCAAGCAAAGCACTCTTGCCAGAGCCATTAAGCTGTAAGATATACTAATTCGGATTTTGATTTGAACTTTGCTGCTGATGTGGAAGAATCTGATTCTCATTGCTTTCTTTGAATTCTTTCTTCACCTCCACTTCCTTGACCCTCTGGCTGCCTCTTCCTGCCACAGCCCTCCTCGTTAGGTTTTTAGACGATTGGGTGGCTACTTAGACACTGGCTTTAGCTACAGACTGTGTGTTTGGGATTAAAACTTATTTCCACATGATTGGAAGAATCTTCTCAACTAGTTAATGTCAACACTGGAAGAATCTTCTCAGCTAGTTAGCTATAAAACAAACAGCCTTTTAATGTTCTTCAGTTCTGCAGCTTCATCCTGTAAGAAAGGACTCAGCTTTGAAAGTATACGAGTATACACAAGGACAGTTCAGGGTCTCACTGAAGCTTCATCTACAAGCTCAGTGTTCTTGGCTTGATGAGGCCAGCACCTGTTTGTCTTCAAGGCTAAGGCCTTCGTCTCTCTAGATACATCATTACTGCTTATGGTTGGATCCAAGGCCAAGAAAACTTTCCTAAGAAAGTAATGTTCTAGATCTAGGAAAGAGAGAAAGCTGACATCTAATTTTCAGGCACGTTGTTATTTTGTGGTGGGGTTGTTGATTTTCACGATCCACATCATCAGCAGTTGGGTTGAGTGAGTAGCCTCTGGTCTGATAGGTGTGGTTTGGCATAATTGTGGTGAACAGAGAAGGCCTGCCTCTAGTGAGTGTGGAAGCATGCCTGCTTATGTGAGCACTTTCTGAGAGAAGATCTACGGCTCGCTTCATGCTTTGGATTTCCAAAGCTCTTCTTCTCTAACTCTAAAGCACTTTTTGATTTTACAAAATCTTATTTTATGATCTTTTCAAAAGGAAGGACCATACACCATCACTATTTAAAGAGGAGAGTGTGAGTAGACGTTTGTCATCCTCGGGCTATGCCAGCCTCAGCACACTTTACACTCCTAGTTCATCTCTTGTCTTTAGGCCGACAGTCATTTCATGTGGCCCAGTAAAACACATCTTTTCCAAAGAAGGCTTCCTAGCTTTTTTTGGTCACCCCCTCAAGTGTCTCATTACTATTAGAGTCAAGAAGTCTTTTTCAAATTCTGACCCCAGAATTTTTTGCTGCAGTTGAGACAGTCCTTACGTGTCTTGAGTTGAAACAGAAAGTTGTCTTCTGTTGGCCATGCAGTATTACTTTCTAAACTGAAACTGTAAATTTTCCCAAAGGCATTTTTGCTTTAAGCTAAGTAACTGTGGTTCTCAAACACATCTTTTCTACAGAGCTTCTTTACTCTTCTCCACTCTTTAATTTTAAATCTCTGCTCCAGACCTCTCCAGATTCTCAGTCCTACTTTAGCTTCTGCAGTGCTGCTTCTCTATCAAGTAGACATTTGGGGTTGCATGATTTTTTGCCTTGGGGTTTGTTGGGAATTATTTTTTCTAATAAAATTATTCTATTCCTATTATACCCCTTCTCAGCCTCTACTCTCTTCATCTGTCTACTCTGCTGCTTTCTCTTGTTGCATATCGTCTCTCCTCCTTCACGTTCCTTCACTCTGTGGGATGATTGACAGATGCCTGCTTGCTGCCATGACCCAGCTCTGGCTGGGGTTGGTCCCTCCACTTCCCAGTTGTCATACCCTCTCTTTGGTCTGCATTCCTTTTAAGTGCACAATCTGGGTGGGAAGGTGGTGCTGGGAAATGGTGGGTGAGCAGCATGTCCTGAACAAAGTGACTGTGTGCTGTTTTGCAGTGCGTCATTTGGTAGAAGTAGTGACCCCACAAGTCCCTACATTTCAGCCAGTCGCAATTCATCTGCTACCTCACCCATTACCATTGGTTCATCTACCTCTCGGGGCAGCAGGTGGCAGCCTGCCTCTTCCTGCCCTGCACCAGTCAGTGCAAACACTTCTGCATCCGTACACCATGGCAGGTAAGGCTGCGTGGGGCCATTCGAGTCACGTTCGTCAAAGCTAATGCCTCTGGATACACAGAAGAGATTTAAGCCAAAGAGATTTTGTCACTGCGGAAGCAAGTTTGAATTCCTGTGAAAATGTCCACAGTAAGAGCGTGCTTTTGCTTTGACTTATATTAGCCACTCAACAGTTGCTTGTTGAAAAGTCAGAGGGTGTGTGTCTTTGTACTTGGTGTTCAGGCATCAACATAACGTGACTGCTTTCATCTCTTAATAGCCTTACCAGTTGTGATTACAACTTAAGGGTCATACGGTTGTGGTAAATCACATATTAAAAATGTCCCCATATTTCACTTAGATTAATTTTCCAGTAATTATGAGTTAGGAATCTCTTCTGTTTAGTCTTTTCGGAAGATGGCATACAAACCAAATCAGAAGGAAAGCTAACTCTTGTTCCAAGAGACTCCTGTAGCCTTGTGAATGTTTCCAGCCACTGAGAGTGTTTTGCTGAGAACACTGTGGGAAGGAGGAGGTTTGTATTTGTCTGAGCTTTGTTCCTGGGACGCTGTCTTCTTGGTTTCTAGTTCATCTAAGGGCAGCCTGGGCAGTGTGTCGTTGTGAAGCAGAACTTCAGCTGTGGTTTTCACTGTGGGTTTTAATCCTTTATGTCTGGTCAGAGACCGTTTTACTTTGGGGTATGGCAAAAGGACTCCTTTTTTGGGTCTTGTTTCTACAACTGACACAAAGAAGATGAAAAACATTAATGATGATAGTGTTGCTGCACAAGCACCTTTGAAGGTGGTGCTTGATTGATATTTGTCAGTTTACTAGATTTCTTTCCCCACAATGAATGGTGATCATTGATTGGGCCAGGAGGGATAGGCTTATGATGAACTGTTAATACTGTATAATTATGTAGTAAATGTTATCCGCATAGATGGAGAAACTGAAACACAGAGAAGTGACTTGATTATTAAGAGCTGGACCTGGGGAAGAATAATAACAACTACCCTTTGTTGAACCCCATTATGTGCCAGGCTTGGGTTAGGTACTGTACAAAAATTACATTGGGATTTGGTCTACTCACACATAACAGTAAATCCAAATAATAGGGCTTAAATATGATAAGGGTTTATTTTTTTCTCTCACTTAAGAAGGTCCAGAAATAGGCAGGGCTGGCACACAGCTCCAAAGTCACTAAAGGATCCAGATTCCTTCTGTCTTTCTGCTTCACAATCCTTAGATCATGGCTTCCATTTCCATGGGTTGTCTCATGGTCCAGAATAGCTGCTGGAGCGCTAGCCATCATGGTTGCATTCTAGGCAGGAAGAAGAAAGAAAAGGGGAAGTGCACAGAGGGAATACCTCTGAACTGAGAATTTTCCCAAAAGCACTAATTTTCTGCTTATGTCTCAGTGACTACCTCTAGCAGCCAGGGAGACTTGGGAAAATGTGGATTTTTAACTAGGTACATTGCTGCCCTTGATACACAGGTTCTGTTAGTAAGGAAGATGAATATGGGTTAGATAACTAGCTGTCTCAGGCACACATATATTATTTATAGTCTTATAAAGAGCCCTCCAGGGTATGATACTTTATTCTCCCTTTATAGATGAGGAGACTGAGACCAAAAACTTAATCCTCTTTGCAAAGTCACATAAGCTAGTGAGGAACCGAGGCAGGATTTGAACCTACATTTGTCCATTTCAGAGCTCTTGTCTATTTCACTATTTTTTTTGGTGAAGAAGATTGTCCCTGAACTAACATCCATGCCCATCTTCCTCTACTTTGTATGTGGGACGCCGCCACAGCATGGCTTGATGAGCGGTATGTAGGTCCTCGCCTGGGATCTGAACTCATGAACCCCAGGCTGCTGAAGCAGAGCACTCAAACTTAACCATTATGCCACCGGGCCAGCCCCTAGTTCACTATTTTGTTTCCACTGAGTTTATATTTTATTCTGGGCACGTTAGCAAGTGTTCTGCATACATTATTTTATTTAATCACCGTAAGACCCTGCGTTTTAAGTTATCATTATCCCCATTTTACAGGTAAAGCGATCAGAGAGGCCAAGTGGGCTTAAACTCAGCCCCAGGTGATTCTGGAGCCTCTGATCCTGCTTTGGAGCTTCTCCTGTTCTGCTCCTAACAATCTACCTGTAAATTATAACGCATTTCAAATAATAGTAAAGTCCTTTTCTATAATTTAATAAAATAAACTCCTTGGCATTTCTACAACATAAGAAATTACAGAGACCAAAATATATTATCAGGGGCCGGCCCCGTGGCTTGGTGGTTAAGTGAGCGCGCTCCACTGCTGGTGACCCGGGTTCGGATCCCGGGCGCGCACCGACGCGCTGCTTCTCTGGCCATGCTGAGGCCGCGTCCCACATACAGCAACTAGAAGGA